GCCCCCCGGCTGCGTGGCTCGGGGCAGCTGCTGCTGGTTGTGGAGCCCGGGCTGCTTGCAGCAGGGCTTGCAGCCTCCTGGTCTCCTGCCGCAAGCAGCCTGGGCTCCACAACCAGCAGCAGCTGCCCAGAGCCTGAGCTGGCTGTGGCATGCCAAGCAACATGGCCTCACGTGCCACGCTCTGGCCTGCCAGCCCCTGTTTTACAGGATTCAGGAGGACAAGCTTCTGGAACGCCGGTCACCTCCGAGCCTCCCGGCGATGGCTAGGCCATGACACACACTAGACTTGTACAGCTGTCCAGTTGCCTTCCAATGCCCATAGCAGATGACAGAAGCAGTTACTGGTTACACTTGCCACGATGCTACATTGCACCTGATGCAGCTGCTAAAAAAAACATTGCTATGAGAGAAATCTCATGAAAAAGATGACCAAAAGACAGTCAATCCTTGTCTTTTCTGTCCGTGGGATTTATCAGAACAAAAGCAGCTCTTATAAATAAAGCTTTTAAGGTCAGTGGTGACTCAGAGGGGGTGCACATGCACCCCTGAGAGCACCGGTGCACCCCCTAACAGGCTGCGCTCGCTGCTTGGGTGACGGGCTGAGGGGAGCACTGGTGCCCCCCCTGCGAGCACCGGCCAGGGAGTGGGAGCACCATGGCCTCTTTGCAATTGGCCGTGGGGGCCTCCGCCCCCGCCCCCCATCAGCGAGAGTGGCTGCGGGGGGACCCTCTTGCTCCCCGGTTGTGACTGGTCGCTGGGAGGGCACATGGCCTCCTGACTAAGGTGGCACCAGTCGCCCATGTTTAAAGTTCATAATTTGAAGAGCTTTTCTCTGAGTAGACAGACTGCTAATGAACAGCCTTTTAGCCTGCAGCCATTTCCCTTGATGTTCATACTTTTGTTAGATCTACAATAAAGCAGAGTCAGCAATGTCCAGAAAGACAGACAGTGCTGTATACAGTCCTGCTGATCACAAGGTAAGGGCAATACTTTCCTTTGCTGGTGCATCAAATCAATGCCCCCATATATCAGTTCAGGGAACTGTGCTGTTGGAAGGGCTGTTTCTTGGATGGGAATGGAGTCCTCCTCCTTCAAGCTCCTTTTGTAAGACTGAGGCAAAAACTTCAGTGTCATGATGAAGGCTAGGGACAAACATAACACACAAACCAGTTTAAGTGATCAGAAACTGGTTTAAACCTGGAACAAAACACATGTTCAGTGCACATAAATCAGTTTGAAAATGGCTGAAACCTGTTTGAGGTAAACCTGGTTGAATGTAGTATTAGACTTAAATTATTTGGGTCAAACCGGTTTATGCAATGTCTGTCCCAGACCCCTTCCTGGTTTAAGTTAAACCAGACTCCCCCAGCATCCAGGCATGCTCTCTGGGCTGGGCAGAGCCGTCTGCTCCACAGCACAGCTGGCCCCTCCCCTCTGCTCCTGGCTGCATCTCTGGCAGAGACTGCAAGCATCTGCCTGGCTTCCCCCTTCTTCCCCACTCCCTGCTAGGGAGGGATTTCCCTGTTCCCTCTGCCTCACGCAGACACCTCTCAGCATTAGCTAGCAGACTGCACGCTGACTACAGTCTGTGCTGTGGGAGACAGGACAAAGGCAGACAGGACTGTGTCCACTTAGGGCTTTTTGGAACTAATCAACAGGTAGCTGGTAAGTCCCTCCATTTCTTCCTTCGAAAAAGTAGTTTAAGAAGAGCTTGAACTAATGGAGAAGAGCTTTTGTTTTCTGTATTTTCTTAGTGGGCTGATAAACACTTAGTAAGGGGTGATAAACACTGTATTATCAACTCCCTGCTGGGCTGCTGCGGGGGGATGGGACGGGACGAGGGACCCCTCCCTAATCAGAGCATCTTGCCAGGGCCTGGCCATGCCCCCCTTCAGGTCAGCACTGTAGAAGGGAAGGGAGGGCTGCGTTAGTGCCCCCTGGCTTCTAGCGTGAGCCACTGCAGGCATGTACTTGCTTTTCTGGGATCTCGGTGTAGTTACAAAGCGTTTTGAATGTCTATCCCTAGCCCAAATGGCAGTTTACACAGCAGGGACAAAAAAGTCAAGTAGAAGGCAGGGTAGTTTTACATCTTATAGACTAGCCAAAGTGGATATATATCTAGGACTAGCTTTTATGAGCTGTAGCTCACGACATCAGATGCTGTGGAAAAATGTGCAGAAAGCAGAGTAGAGAGAGAGAGAGAAATTAGAGTACAGAAGACGAGTGTGGGGGAGGGGGCAATGCTGTGGGAGAGAAGCAGACAAACATTAGGAGGGGCAGGCTGAAGTGCTCTGGGTCAGAATACAAGGGGGCCGGGGGGGAAAGGGACTTAACGGTGGGGGTCTCCCAACCAAGGGCAAGAGCTGAACCGCGAATTCTCGGGTCAGCTTGCAGTGGCAGTTAAGTCAAGGGATGTAGTGGTCATGGGTGATCTAAATTACCCGAACATCTGCTGGGAAGAGCAGTCAGCCAGGTCTGACCGCTCACGTAGGTTCCTTGCTGAGATGCAGGACCTCCACCTAACCCAGGAGGCGTACAGTCCCACCGGGGAAATGCCTTGCTGGACCTGGTCCTGGCCACAGGTGACGACCTGATGAGGGGTCTGTGGGTCCGCGGCCACCTGGGTGATAGCGATCATCGCCTGCTGGAATTCACCATCCAGCGCAGGGTGTCAAGGGCCCGCAGCAAGGCAGCAGCCCTGGACTTCAGGAGGGTGGACTTCAATGAGTTGAGGAGATTGGTAGGAGAGGCCCTGGGGTCCTGGAGGGTAGGGGAATGGGGTGCCCAGGATGAGTGGTCATTCCTTAAGGAGACGATCCTCTGAGCCCAAGGGGTGACAGTCCCAATGAGAATCAAAGGGGGCAAGAGTGCTCAAAAGCCCCCCTGGCTCACTAAAGGCATTCAGGAATACCTGAAAGCCAAAAAGGAGGTGTACACCCGGTGGAAGGGAGGAGCTTTCACCAAAGAGGAGTATACCCCCACCACTTGGGTCTGTAGGGGGGCTGTTAGGAAGGATAAGGCAGATACGGAACTAGGGCTAGCATCCAGGACAACGAAAAGTCGTTTTTAAATATATAGGGAATATGAAAAGGCACCGGGTAATGTGGGGCCCTTGCAGGATACACTTGGCAATCTGGTGGTTGCACCAGAGAAAAAGGCAGACCTTTTTAACAATTTCTTTGCCTCCATTTTTTTGTGCAGGGACTGGGACATCTACCCCACTGAGATTCAGGATGGACTTAGGAGAGACTCTGCCAGCCCCAGGGTCAGGGAGGACCGAGTTAGGGAACTTCTGGAGGGGCTGGACATGTTCAAATCGGCCGGTCCTGACAATCCCCACCTCAGGGTGCTGAGAGAATTGGCAGGGGTCATCGCGGGGCCCCTGGCACAGCTTTACGAGCGCTCGCGGTGCTCTGGCCAGGTGCCGGACAACTGGAAGAAGGCCAATGTGGTCCCCAGTTTACCAGCACGGGTTCATTCGAGGCAGGTCCTGTCAGACCAACCTGGTGGCCTTCTACGACCAGGTCACAAAATCCTTGGACACAGGTGTCTCAGTGGACGTAGTCTTTCTGGACTTCAGGAAGACCTTCGACACGGTCTCCCACCCCATTCTCATTAAAAAGCTAGGGGACTGTGGCGTCGACACCTACAGAGTCAGATGGGTCACCAGTTGGCTGGAGGGCCACACCCAGAGAGCGGTGGTGGACGGGTCTTATTCGACCTGGAGAGATGTGGGCAGCGGGGTTCCCCAGGGCTCGGTCCTCGGGCCCGCACTGTTCAACGTCTTCATCAGCGACTTGGATGAGGGGGTGAAAAGCACCTTGTTCAAATTTGCAGACAACACCAAGATCTGGGGCGAGGTGGGCATGCTAGAAGGGAGGGACAGGATACAGCTGGACCTGGACAGGTTACAGGGGTGGGCAAATGAAAACAGGATGAGATTCAACACTGACAAGTGCAAGGTGCTGCACCTGGGGAGGAAGAGCCAGCAGCAGACCTACAGGCTGGGGGACTCCCTTCTCACCAGTGCAGAGGCAGAACAGGATCTTGGAGTCACTATTGATGCCAAAATGAACATGGGGCGACAGTGTGGGGACGCGGTCAGGAAGGCCAACCGCAACTTGTCATACATCCACAGGTGCATCTCGAGCAGGTCCAAGGAGGTGATCCTCCCCCTCTATGCGGCACTGGTCAGGCCGCAGGTGGAGGACTGCGTCCAGTTCTGGGCGCCGCACTTCAGGAGGGATGTGGCCAGCATGGAGAGGGTCCAGAGGAGGCCACCCGCATGGTCAGGGGGCAGCAGAGCAGGCCCTACAAGAAGAGGCGACGGGACCTGAACCTGTTCAGCCTTCACAAGGGAAGGCTGGGAGGGGACCTGGTGGCCGTCTATAAACTTACCCGGGGGGACCAGAATTTCCCACTCAAATCTCTTTTTTAAAGTTTGCTGGCTGAGACCAGCCACCCTGAGGTCAGCATCGGAGCCTCCAGGGAGGTTCAAGCGTTCTGCCCCAGGCTCGGCGTCTTGCTGCAGCTGACGGCAGAGCGGTGCTCAGTCATTCTGCACTGCGGGGATCACCCAGTCTGCCAGGGCCGACAGCAGAGGGGAACTGTAAGCGGGTGATGGCGCGTATGACATTGGCGGGGTTGCAAGTGAATGAAGCAGCTGCAGAAAGGCAGGCAAGCCCGCGGCAGGACACTGGACACTGTAACCTCCTGGATACTTTGTTGCTGACCTCAGACAGCTTCCTGAACTGTTCAAACTGGACTGCTTTAAAGGCATTACTTCAGTTAAACCATCACTCCTTAGTGAAGAAAAATACATCCCCGCCAGAACCACCTGAACCCAGTGGAAGGACTGAGAGAGACTGGCACGAGCGCGTTCCTAGGACTTAGCCAGAGAGGGGCACTAAGCGCTCAAAGGTTTTCTAACACCGCCTTTTATCCGAGTCATCGAACGTGAGACCGAAAAGAGAGTGTAACTGTGAATGCAGGGATATTAATTCCCCTCTTAAGACCTGCAGTACAGGATGCAAAGTAGGTGTAGCTAAACACTGCAAAGTATAAGAGAACTCAACTTTGTGTCTTTAACTTAAGTAATTCACCTGACAAAGTTCAACCGTTATATTTGTCCTGATGAGGATTTCACACATTGTATCTGAATGTGGTACTTATAATTGTCAAAGGATAAACTTTTAATGTGCTTGGTACAATTTCAGTCAGATTTTTCCAGTATACTTCCTATAAAAATCCACAGAACCAAGCTTGCCTAGTAAGAACGCTACTCTGAAGATTGGAGTGAAAATCCCTAAGGCAATTTCTGAAGACCGTGCAGAACAAATGCTAGCACAATCTGTAAACCAGTGAAAAAGGCAAACAATTTGGGTCTAGGGGCCGTATCTCTCAGGAAGCAGATCCCGGGGGTATAGTTTTGCATACCAGCAGCTGTGCTATCCCAGCTAACAGAAATGGAAGATACGCATGAGAAAACGTGACAACTGAAGAGAAAAAAATGTTAAGATAATAATGTTTTCCTATAAGGTCAAACATTCTTTACATATTAAATAATTCTTATTACATTAATAGAAACCATAACTTGAGTAAAATTGCAATTTTTATAAACACCTCTTGCCCGTAAACACATGCCTGTCTAACAGAAATCCTGAAGTGTCTGCTGGCTGAGCTAATAACTCAGAGATTACATGACAAAGAACCTAGCTCTTATGAGGCTAAATGTACAGTATAAAGCAAAACCATCCCTTTCCATGTTTGAAGTTAAACACACCACAATAAACTATTTTTAAAGTTCACAGATTAAATTTACACAAGCCTATTCAGGCAACAAATCTGCTACAGAAATGGATGATTTAAAAGACAAAAAAAATCTTACTTTATTTCTGTTCTAATTCAATCAATTTATAATAGCGTATTACAATGCCCAAAGAAAGCAACTACTGAACCATACAATTACCATCATCCTTATACGCTGAAAAAATCTGCTACTGCTAAACCGGGGAGACTGCCTCTGTAGCTTTAGCACGTCGTCTTCTTTACAAACATAGAGCAATGCTTAGCAAGATGCCATAAGGAAAGCTGACAAACCTGCGGTGCGCTGTGCTTTTGGTTTCTCTCGAGCAGAAGGAATGACTATCCAGAAAAGTTATGATAGAGCCTCAAAAATATTTTTGTGCCACTCTTACACTGCTGGCTGCTTTTACCATCAGTAGGATTTCTTCTCCACTCATTTTCTACGCTGCAAATTATTCCTTAACTTGTTTGCTGTTTTATAAAAGGGGCCTTAGCACTCACAACTACAACTCCTACACAAGTAGTCCTTTGAGGATGTTTTCAGTGGCTTTTGAAGATGCTCAGAGTTAGCCTGGGTAGCCTGAAGTCAGGTGGAAGGCAGGGTCAAGTTGCACCTTATAGACTAACTAAGCTAAATTTGTCTGCCTCTCTCAGTGGCTTCCTGTTTGCTATTTTATAACATAATACTAATTATATGTACATAATTGTATCACTGCAAAACTGTCAGTCAACCAGTGGGGGCAGAGCAAACAGGTGCTCTGTGCAGAGCCAGAGCCAGGGTAAGGCAGGGCCAGGGAGCAGGGGGGAGATGGGGGCCAGGCAAGGGCAGTGGCAGTGGGGCTGGGCAGATGCAGATGGCGGGGAGGGGCGAGCAGAGGGGATGTGCTGTGGGGGCAGATGTCAGAGGGGCAGCAGGGGCAAGGTGCGAGGGGGTGGCTGCTGGGCTCCTGCACCTGCCCTGGGCCCTGCTTGCCCACTGCAGTGCTTAGGGAGGAGCCCCCAGGGTATAAGACCAGAGACACGGACGGACAGTTATAACAAATATTCCATGTGCAGCATCTAGCTCTTACGAGTGACTTGGCCCCGGGACACTGATGGGTCCTCCACTGCCCAGCGCCTCTGGGAGGCACCAACAGGAGCTCCCAAGGCAAAGCCCCAGGATGCCTCTTCTCAGCAGGCAGGAGCAGGAGCAGGAGCAGTGCTGGCAGCAGTGGGACCCAACATGCAGCCACCCCCCTTGCCCTCCCGCTGCTGGGCAGGGATGCGTGTGCAGCACCCAGCATGAAGGTGGTGCAGCCGGCCGGGCCCCGGGCTCCAGCAGCCACGTGGGGGGACAGGCTGAGCTGCGGTGCTGCTCTGACCCCGGGGGCCACGGAAACCACTCCCGGCAGCGCTGCAGGGGAGGCCACATGGGTGCCTCTGCAATGGGAAGGGAACAAGGCACTCGAGGTCTCAGTCCTGGGGCCCCACTGCAAAGGGCTCGTGCAGCCGTGCACCATGAAACAAGCTTCTGCGAGAGCTGGCAGGGCCACGTGACTCTTCCTCTCAGGAGTGAGGGTGGGAAGTAGTGGCTGTCCAGGGAAGGGGTTTCTGGGCACAAGCGGAGCAGTCCTGGAGGCAGTAGATGTGAGCTGTGGTTTATTCGGCCGTCTTGCCCTCCTGATGCAAACACAGCCAGGCCAGGGGAGGGAGGCAGCACTGCGGCCTGCGCAGCACACTTGCAGCCAGGATGCCGCTACACACCGACATTGAAGCAAATCTGGCATCCTGCTCCTGCCTCCCCGGAGAGCTCTGGGCCAGCGTGAGCAGAGAGCACTCTCAGCCTCTCCTGTGCAAGCTGGCGTGTTATTCTCTGCACACAAGTCATTTGGCTCGAGAGCACCAAGAGAGGAGCCTGAGGCTGTAGCCCAATGGTTAGATCACCTGGCTGCACCAGGGGAGCGAGTTGTGCGTCCTGGCCAAGCCTCCCAGACTCTTCCTGCATTTCACCTGATGACGGTTTCACACACAGTACAGGAAGTTCCACCCTCACATGTTCAGAAAGAATCACGTAAAAGCAGGGGGGGAAACCCACATACGAGTTTGGAATAGAAAGCAGCAATCACCAAGTTCAGAGGACGGCACAACTTTTTCATCCTTTGAAAGTCCAACGGATATGCAGTAAAGATCACAGTCGAGACATCTGCTAAGAGTTAACTCGTTATTGCAACACTACCATACAAGGCACTTTTTCTTGTGATGTCTCAGCTCGTTCTTACACTGAAGTCTCTTCTACAGAAAATCACTCTTTATTATTCTTTCCAGTATATTACTTAGAAGGACCTAACACTTCTTAAGTGCTACTGCCATCACCTTATGCGAGTCTTTCAGCATCTATTATGGCTTCAACATTGTTTTTAAAATACCACTTTTATGTAACACCTTATTAACATTAATAAGCAAAGATGCATTATATCTCCAGAGTGTTGCATCTCTTATCAGGGTTACCTTTGGCACATCTGGTTCATAGGGTTCCCTGCAATGAAATGTTATGGCAATATTGTTGGACACTGCCAAACTGTTGCCATACATCTTCAGAACAGAGTGGACTGAAGTCTGAATCACCTTTCTTGGATCAACTATCATTTTCCTAGGGTTGTATCTGTCTTTCCTGTTGGCTTCTCTGTGGATATGCTGCAAAATGTTCACTCCAGGCACTGCATTCCAGGACGAGATGTTGAACACGGCTGTGGCAGTGAACACGGTGTTGGGGAAGATGTGATTCTCAAAGAGGAAAACGCCAGTTTCTGGATTCTGCTCCTGAAGACTCCTCATCATGGTTTTCCAATCCGGGTGCTTCGCGGGCAGAATAATCTCATCGATATCATTGAGCAGCACAAACCTGCTCCGGTACATGTTGCGATACACGCAGTCATTGAGAGCGGTGATTTGTCCGTAGTAACCGATGTGCGTCCCATCCTTCGGGAAGCGCCAGTGAGGAGACACCTTGAGGTGGGAGGTGATGGGCCAGGGAACGACCTCGACGGTCCCTTCTGCAATATAAAAGGCCAGGACGCTCTCCATCAGGGGGCTGCAGCTGTTCTTATAGATCACCACCCTCTGGGCCCCCAGAATTTTGTACATCTCCATGCTCTGTATAAATTGTAAGACGTTGTTGTAGTTTCCAAACATGGTTGAGATGCACACGGTGAAGTCAGCAGAAAAGGGCTCAGGCTTGCGGTTCTTTATTTCAAATCTGGGCAGCTGCTCAATATTTCCATTAGGGAACGAGTGAATCGACACATAGCTCGGATCACAGGTGGGGGGTTCTGCACAGAGCAGGTCTGCTGCACCGTACGGGAAGTCAAATCGATCCGAGTGGACATCAATGTCTGCCCTAGATACGTGTACTTCCCCATCGGGCTGGCAGCAGAACCAGCAGTAAAGTGCCGTCACCTCCTCATGGTGAACAATCCCAATCACTCGGGTGATTTTGCTCTCTCTGTTATCAAAGTACGGGGCTACGATAAAGGTTCTGTTATCCTCCAAGGCTGCGATCGTGTTAGAGGCAGGTTTCCCTCCACAAAGCTCGAGCGTCTGATCAGTGGGTACTGGTTCAACGTAGATTATTCTTGGTGTATCATTCTGGAACATAGATCTTTTCCAGTAGTGCGTCAAAAGGATCACAAACATGAAGACAGATGGCACAGCAACAAAACAAGATTTTTTTCCACAGTACAACATGGTTGAATGGCATAAATTCAGTCTTAACGTGTTCCTTCCTGGTCAGTATTCCTGGCTAGAAAGGAAAAAGTTCTAAATAGAATAGGTCAATAACTTACCACAAACTGCACATTTTCTGTTAAACTGTTTTCTGTTAATTATTATGTTTATAAATAGGCTTCCAAAGTGTAGTATAGATCCTAACTCAATTTAAATCACTTTTTGCACAGCTCCAGCAAAGATATAGCTAGGTAAATCCTGCTACCTTACTTGAGTACTAGTGCGTCTTACCTTGCAATTGGCCCCAGGGCAATCACTAGAGTTTTTCCGGACCTCAGGGAACAGAAGCAGAACTGACCTGACAGACCGGAGCGTTTGGAAGCCTCAGACCCGTGAAACCCCAGACAGTCTCACTTGACTACAGTCGAGGAAATGGTTGAAATATTGATCTGTTCCTCTGAAAAATTACATTCCGGATGAAACCCATTGCTTGCCCTGTCCTCACCCACAACAGTAACTTGGGCACAACCGTCATTTGTCTTCTTTAGCTTTTGTCTGCATTTCAGACAAATCACTGCCTTTCTCTGCTTTCCCAAAGGGGCGACAATGCAGTCAATATATCCATCAGCACTTTCACCCCTGGGAAGTGTAATCGTGCAACATCGAATGTACGAAGAGGGGGAAGCGTCTCCGAGGTGCCGGGCACTCTAGACCCTCCAGGTGTCTGACGATCAGCCCCAGGCAGGAAAAGGAGGACTCCCCAACCCCTTTCTTCCCCCATGTTGTGGGGCAGGGGAAGGGGAAGGAAGAAGGCTTTCCCCATCTCCACGTCTCACGTGAGCTGAGGAATCCCAGACTCTGACTGGAAACCCGTGTTCACCTCTTAGGTGCTCTGCATCCCAAACAAACTAATCCCTTCATTACAAACACATTTAGCATGAGTTAATTAATTTGCAGTCATTAAAAATTACTCATAGGCCAAGGGTTTGTATTTTGCCACCCTCACCCGCTCAGAGTAATCTTTCAAGCTGTGGGGTAGTCTGTGGCACTATTTGCAAAGCAGAAATTATGGAGCAAGAGCAACAAGGTCCTAATTAAAATAAAGCAGTGCATTTGCTAGCAAACAGCCTGGCATGTTAGTTTTAGACAAGCTTTTGTTCAAAAGTACTCCAGGCACTAGTTTTTAGTAAAGTGGGACTTTATCAATGTTGTACAACCATTGTATTTCTGATTTCATTGCTTTCTCAGAAATAAGTTGCTTAAAAATAGTAAGTCAGCCCTCTAATTAGCTGATGTGGGTGGTTTCTCTTAACTTCCACAGCAAATTCAGACTAAACATAATCCTTTTCAAAAGGCGGGATTTTTTTCCACCAAGTGACTAGAGGGAGATGAATGAATTGTACCAGAACAATGCTTAGTGACACAACTCCTTTTTAAAAAAGACGGCCTGAGCTTCTGTTCCTTTCCTAAGTTTGAGCTGACCTGCACAGTGACAACTGCGGCCTCCGCTGCCAGCTCTGCACCAGGCTCTGCCAGAGCAGACGCCTGCACGAGCTGTGCATTTCAAGAGGCGCCCACCTCGACTGAAGGACTCGCCAGGCTGTCAGCTACGCCCAAGAGGGAGGTACCAGCCCAGATCAAACAGCGAAGAGCCTGAATATGCAACTGCAGTTTAATAATCACACATACAAAAGATGCCAGAGGCCAAGCAGGATGAAAAAGCCTAGCCAATTTATTCCATGAGCTCAGATGGTGGTATGAAGTACACAGAATTGCAGTGCAGTAATTAAGTGGCCTTTCATAACTGTATGCTGGTACCTGGCTCTTCTACCCCCTTTACATCTATTCAGTCAAATATTAGCTACTACCCACTGGTGACTTACACACACACACACACACACACACACACACACACGGTTCTAGGGCCACAACCCTGACCTCAGAGTCCAGAGTTTGAGAAGCACAATGAAAGTATCTGCTCCTGGTGCAATGTCCAGACTGAAGAGCGGTAATGACCAGAGCCAAATTCTTCCTCCTCTCTGGCCTAAAAATGTAAGCGTTGCATTACTGAAAACAACTGCATTCCTATTTAACTCTCACATCCACACGCTCTCTTATTGTCTCTGCTCATCATCAGGCGATCACACCCTGCCCTTTCCCGGTCACCTGAGGATACAAACTTTAAACCTTGGAAAATTATGCTGTGCTTTTCCAAACGCTTATGTAACTTCATGGTTAGAAAATTAGCAAAGAGCAAAATCAACTAAGACATCCCAGTTTGTGGTCACAACTTATACCTTCAAACTGCACGGCATCATTACCTCCCTTTCATCACATCAGGGGCAGGCAATTATTTCGGGTGGAGGGTCGCTTACTGAGTTTTGGCAAGCCACCGAGGGCCGCATGACAGGCAGCCAGGGGCAGGTAAATATTAATTTTCTAAATTTTTTAGGGGCCCCGTGAGCCGGATAGCATAGCCACATTTTGCCCACCCCTGCATTACATGGTACAATTAAAACCTGCAATGTTCGTTACCATCTGACTGCTATCAAAACAGGAGCGCCCAGAACACTCTTGTGCGGCGCAGCTGAGAAAACCTTAGACCAGTTGGGAGTAGTGGTCCCACAACAGCTCTTACTACTCCTTGTGATAAATCAGCATCCAAGGTATTTATGTACTCGTTTTAATTCTTTCTTTACTGGACTGGAGAACATTTCAAATGATTAATATGTACTAACTAGCTATTAATATTGATACGTTTAATTAGAGAGCTAAAGATTTTCTCATAAAAATGTTGACACAAATGTAGGGCTGCAAACTTTGTGTGTCATGTTTTCAGGGAAAAAAACAGGGAAAAAAAGCATCTAGAAAACAGCTTATTCCAAAATAGAGCATAAATAATTGTCCCAAATCCTACCCATTATGTCCAAAACCAGTTTTATTTTCCAGAGTTTTTTCCCTCAATCAGAAGCAGAATTCTAACTAATTTTCTGTCTGAGAAAGGCAACAAAATGCTTGGCAGGGAGGAGAGAGTCAAAAGTAATGGGGATTGAGGATGTGGGATTCAATTAACTGGGAGAAATAGTGGTGTATGGGCTCCTAGCTCTCTTCAGTCCACATTCAACCATTGCACTGGGAGAGAAGGAGAGAGCATTTGAATTTAAAAGTCTTCAGGGAAGAACTTATTGCAGAAAAGACTTGGGTCAATTTACAGAGAACGACACGCAGCGAGGCAGCGAGAGCTTCTCATCAGTAATGGCTGTAATCAGATGCACTTGCAGAAACAGCGTGCCTGCGGGTCTGTTCCTGGAACATGGTAAGGGGAAGAAAAAGAAACTCCCCAGGCAGTTTTCTTGCTCGAGGTCCACACACTACAGCCTCGTCCTTGCCACAGAAGTGTCTTGTTGGATCAGGGTATGAATCGTGCGTTGACGCCACAACTTCACAGCCTGGGAAGTACCAAAGTGGATTTTGGGGGCCCTGCTCTACCACTCAGGCTGGAACGCCCTGCTGCCCTGCACAGTCACCGCTGCCCAGGCCACTGCTGCCCCCATGCAAGAGCAGGGCGGTGAGGCAGGCCACAGGAAAAAGGCCACTGTACCTTCCACCTCACCCAACTTCCGAGAGCGCCGTGTCGTCTGGCATCGTCTCTACCCAGCCGCAGGAAAACCCAGTGCAGCAGTTTGCTTTCCATGGATTTCATATGTGAACGTGACTGACTGGCCAGCGCATTGCCTATTTTGAGCCCAACAGGACAGCCAGGGAGGAGCTAACATCTGACCCCCTCCTCAGAGGCAGCAGGTACCAGCATGCCACGAAATGTGTGAGCCGTGCCATTAGCCGGAGGCGCAGAGTAAATCAGAGACCAGGCAGGAGCCGCAGGTCTCCTGGAGCACAACAGCAAAGTGCGTGCCATTTGACAGCAGCAACACGCAGGGAAAGGGAGTTTCGATTTCCTAAAGAGACAAGTGCAGGTACCAAGATGCCAGTCGCCGTGAAAAGGAGTCCTCATACGCTGGTCATGCATCACCTGCAACTTCAGTCCCGCAGAAACCTTTGAAACCACCACTGAAGACAGATGGCAATCCACTGTGCTACAGCCTGCCTTCTCCCCCAGCTCTGCTGCGCTGAGATCACAGCAAAGGCCTGACTAGTAGAAGAGACAGTCGGCCACTTCTTACAGTTGCCGTTTGCAGTGGTTTACTGCCCTCTCCCCAGAGGACTATTTACAGTACGCGTCAAGTTCTGTGTCTGGCTTTCCAGCAGAAGACAGAGCCCTGGAACCGCTGGGTCACCGTCAGGCCCAGCGCCCAGTGCCAGCTCCATAATCCCTCCGGACCAGGAAAGAAGGTGCCCCGGGGCCAAGGGGAGTTTGGTTTCAGAAACTGCCCAGAGCAGCAGTAGCCGGGCAGCGGCAGCAGCCAGGGAGCTGGGATGGAAAGATTTTGAGCCAGGCTAGGAAGCAGCCCCAGCTGGCAGAAGGGGCAGCAGTAGCTGTGACAGGAGTGGACACGGGCAGTTGTAGGGACAGGCCCCAACAAGCCAGACATGGTCTGGACTGTCATCTCTCAGGCGTGTTGTTCCTGGGGGGAGAGGGTGGCTTGGGGGTGTAACTTGGCCATGGGGACACTGCTGTGTGCTCTTGTGGTCTGGGCCACAAGCAAGGAGCTATTGGCTCAGATTCTCTGTGCTCAAAGTCCCAATCTGTGCAGCGCTCTGCGAGGGCTCATCAGCTAACGGTGCTTGCAGCAGGTGTGCTACTTGAACCGTGCATGCATTGCAGTAATTGCTTCATTTCTGCAAAGACATTTAGGGCAGCTGTGTTGGAGCAGGCAGCCCTGACAAGGCCACAGAGCCAGGCTGCTCAGCCTGGCAGCCTGCAGCTGTTGTGCGCTAGTGGCAGTAGTTCTGTGCTTCCTCGACCAGGTTGTCACTGGTGAGCTGCTGAAGGTTGCCATGTGCCTGAGCCTGCAGCACGCCCAGGGCTGCCCCAAGGGCCACCCACCGAGCAGCCTGGAGCGCTCTGCCGTGGGGCTGCAGCGGCTCGAGCTGCTGCGCGTGCATTCAGGTGAACAAGGCTATTTGTGATGAGCGACAAACTGCTGCTCCTGCACCCTTCAGTGACCAGAAACATCAAAAAGCTCTGTCTGCTCCTGACACCTGGCTACAGCTTTGATACACACAGGGCAACACTGCTACACAGGACTCATCGTTATTTGCTTCCGTATAACTGAGGTTGACTTGTCTTTAAGAAAGCATCATTAGACACTTTCTACCCGCCATCAAACACTGGACCATGCTCACAGCCAGGCCAGCAGAGTCTCTGGGCAAGCGCTTCCAGACAGGCGAATGTTAAAAATGCCTGGCATTTAAAAATAATAATGGCACTAAGAAACCTTCATGGCCCTTATTTCCAACAGCAGACTCTGACTTTGTGCTTGCAGCTTTGCTTGCACAGCATGATTTATTTTTTGGCAGAAAAGAAAGTCTGTTTCGTCCCTGGTTTCCAATTTGCTGCTCACACTTCCTGCCCTGTTCAGACCTGACGGAGAGCTCCATGGATCTTGCGCTTTGCGCGCGATGTAGCCCTTGCTCCACTCTGGTCTCTAGTACGTTTCCTCTTGAACAAAAAGCAGTTTTCAGATAGACTCTGTCCAAAGAGGCTTGTGCCAGACTCCCTGAAAACAATGGGATCAACCTCTCCCTTCCGCAGCACGCTTGGCGAACAAGAGGGATGTGCTGCCTTACTCTGCCAGCAGCCCCTTTATTTCCCTCTAATGGCATTATTTTAGGGACACGTTATTGTTATGGGAGGGCTATGTTATGGCTTGCTGATTAAGGGATGTTTGGGGGAGTTTCTCCCTGGGGGCCATCTATAGAAAGCCTGGATGCAAGAACACATAAAGCACATGTAAGGTACATCACGTGGCTCACCTCCTGCCTCCAAGAGGGATTTCCAAGGTCCAAACAGAGAAGCTGGGACAGGGATGTGCTAATCCCTTGCTGTGTGCCAGCAGAAGGCTGCGTGGGCTCTAGAGAAGGGGGGGAGGGAGGAAAAGACTGTTACTTCTCGGGAGAGGCGATGGGTTTTGGGTTGCCTTGTCTGGCCTTACAGTAAAAGGGATCTCTTTGGGCAGTTCGGTTTCCTGGCACCGCGGCAGAAGCAGCAGCGACTGGCACGTGTCTGAAAACAAACAACGGCATTAAACGTTTCATCTTTACACTATTCCCAATTTCTCGTTGATGCAGAAATCGCCCTGCAAGCCCACACTGCTGACTGCTGCCCACCCAAAGGGGAAGCGTTGTTATTTTTCCCTCTGTGTGTTTGAGCGATAGACTTTGGGATTTTGATTTTTGGCCACGGCTAGTATCGTTCTTTCTCTGGGGTGGACAGTGACTGGCACTCCATGGGCGGTACTGTGGCAGAACTAATAAGTCGTGTTACTACTGCTCGCTGAACCCATGCCAAGGGTGAACTGTTTCTTTAAGAGAACCAGAGCTTTCCTGTGTGTATATCCAGGCATCTCCAGACTTTCCTCTCTTCTCTGTGCTGCTTGTCTTTGGTTATTTGAGCATGGAGGGCTGTGTGCTGCACGCAGCCAGCTCCGAGGGACCTGCAGGGAACAGCACCAGCCACCTGTTTGCACTAAACTATTCTGCCAAATGCAGAGATTTCAGGTTTCTAGTCAAGCAAGGGTGTAACTTGATGTCTCTGCAGGAGCCAGGACTGTCCTCACTAAACCCATTTTACTTAGAAAACTGAGCTTCTCCTCTGCACCATAGTTTGAGATGTAATGGGAGACTATCAGTTGAATTTGGCCCCTGGCTGGGGTTTTCGGAAACTAAGCTGTTGTCAAGTCTGATGCTCATTTCCATGTGTATATTTGTTTGATTGAAGTGGAAATACAAGGTTTGATTCTGTCACATCATTCACTGTGTGTGTGGGCCCGGACAGCCTGGGACAGGGACCAGCTACATGTGTGGGCATGGTACCATGGCCCCGGCTCCGTGTGGGTCTTAGGCTGAACAATGAGCCCAGTGATAAACAGTCATTAAAACCGGTGTGGAAACAGGACAGGAAACCTTCTTATGCCCCTTCACACTTAAAGATAATTGAGAAGTTGCAAGTCGCAGCAGGGCTCTCCTTTCTTTGGTTGATGCGGTTGCTTACGGTATTATCAAGAAGGAAAACGCAGCGTTTCCACGTTTTCCTGCTGCACCGCTTCAAACTAATTTAGGAAATTAATGCCCCGGGAAATTAATGCCCCACATCCCCTACCCCCACTCTGACACAACTGAGGCTTCCTGTAATAAGCAACACCCCTCCCACTGCTCACATGTCTCTGAGCTCCGCTGGCTTAGGCAGTACCGTTTCTTTACTGCAACAAAACTCAGGGCCCCTCCAGGGAAGAGGCAACCGTGGTGCAGAGCTGATGACCTCAGTAAGGCATAGGTGACAAGTGCGGCCCGGCCGGAGCCAGAGCCTGCTGGCAGCAGTGGGGGTGGAGGTGGTGCAGGATTGTGCCCCCCCACTGGTGACACTCGTGCATCATCTGTGCCCTAAACCCAGTTCTCCAGCTGTCCAGACTAAGCCAGCCACGAGGGCTTAGCCAGGGGACAAGCAGCTGGGTGCTGGAAAGGGGACTGGCGCCTGGGGAACATTACCTACATAAAATGCTGATACACTTAAGTCCCAACATGTGAATTAATTCTGAGGTCACCATGGCTCAAACCACAGTGCTTCAGTCAATAGTTCTGGTACCTTTCCCAGCATGAAGCCACCTGGCCTGATCCCTCAGACCAGCCCA